GAAACTACTTTTTCTCATCACAAAAAATTAGTTCAGATTTCGTTTCCATGTATTTACGAGAGAGAGAGAGAGAGAGAGAGAGAGAGAGAGAGACTACTCACTCGAGTTACAGTACTGTATAATACATATTATACTGGTTTTCATCCAACTTTTCACTCGCTATTATAGAGTAGTTTTATCACTCAATTAGAGCGCATGTCGTTTTGGATGCTGTGCTCCCCATCAGTACTATTCATATATAGTTTACTGACTCTAAACTCAGGGATGTCTACCAGTGCTCTCATACTCTATGAGCACACATACCATTCAAACACCTCATCAGCGATCGAAACAAAAAATTCAACCAAAAGATGTGAACAACTATTGACTGAAAATCTGCTTTCATTATAGTTTTGGGCATTCATTCACACCATTGTACTGACGATATAAGTAGTCAGTCGGCAGTTGTATACCTATTGTATGAGATATTTGGCACAAATTGTCTCTTAACTGCAAAAATATTTAAATTTTAACTTTTGGTGAAAATTTGTTAAAAAGTTTTTTCTGTGAGAAAAAATGTTTTTCGTATCACTTTTCAAGTTTTGGAGTTTGTATTTATTGGCATTTGTTTATGAGTCTAAGGCATCGCCAAAGTATGTATGGGTTTAGTAATTGTATACTATTTTTAATTACATTTTTATATTTTACATAACATATTATGTTATTAAATAGTAATAATTGTTTTAACTTTAAGAATTTCATTACATTATTTTATAAAATTAAGTTATACGATATAATATTTAATATTGCTTTGAAAATTTAATTTTATGAAATTCTTGATATTAAAATAATTATTACATTTTATGTATTTATAATATTATACGACCTATAAGAATGTATACAAGAATTTGAGTTATTTTTACTAAGTTAATGGGTTATAATTTTATAGGAATTTTCACCGCAAATTCAGTAAATTATTATTATCCTAAATTATTATTACTTATCATCAAATATAATATTAGAAGTTTAATAAATATTAATAAAATCATTTGTCAAAATTTTTATGAATTATACTTTTAAACAATTACTGTTAATACAAATTCTAAACATATCTCGAAAATATTATGGATTTTATAAAGTGTTATGAAAAATATTTGTAAAGATTTATGTAGCTATGAAATATACTAGTTTATAATTTATGAAACATGTAGTAATGTGTTTGTGTAACAAATGAGCTCTATAACTGTATTTAACCCAGCTAAAATAGTTTAATGTAACTTTATAAATGGTAAAATGGTTAAAGTTTAAAAGTAGTTACAAAAGTTAAGCTAAACATTAAAACTCTTTTTGGACATTATTTTATCATTTTGAACTTCAAATAGTTTTTCATTTTTCAAAACTAAATACAATTTACAGTAAAGTCGCATCAAAATGATATCAAATACAGTCTAAGCGTATGTCGTTACCAAGATATAATACAAAACAATTTAATTGATTCCCATTTTTAAAAATATTTTTCTATTATATTTTTAAATCGATTAAATAGTTTTAAAAATATTTACTATAAATTACGATAAAGTTATAGTAGAAAAATGCATTTATTAATCGTCAGTCCTATCGCTATACAGTTTTATATATATGTGAGTGATGTGAATGGAAAAGCCATTGAAACTTATGATATATTGTAGGCTATCATTAAATGTGATGGCAATCAGTCGGTAGACTACATATCGACACCGAAAAAGCCATTAGTTTTACGATAGAAATTCAATTCTTAATACAAAATATAGATACTGGTATATATATAATATATATAATACAATATATTGTGTTATAAATGATAAAATTCATTGATACCTTACTATGATTTACGATAATGTAAGAATATCACTATTTAATTTATGCACTTTAATTAAATTCTTGTACGGTATTATAATGTATGTTAAAAATCTGCTAAATTTTTATTTAATTTTGTTAAGATTTTAATACAACTTTTCATAAAAATATATTTCGTAAAATAATAAAACAAAATAAAAGCCCAAATTAAATACAAATTAAATTAAGTTTTAGAAAGTGCTCAGCGATAAAGACTTTAAAATTATAACAAGGCTGCAAATTTATATCTAATATTATACTTTAAACTCTAACTACCTATATAACACAGTATTATATATCATGATTACAGATTTATTTGACAAAATAATAGACATTTCCTGACATATAAAGGACATGGATGAATTCACAAGTCATATAAAAATTTGATGTGTATTTTAAAGTTCAAGAATATTACGGAATTCAAATATTTTTATTTTTTCTATAGATTTATTGATCTAGTCATTTTTGCTATAATAATGATTATACGCTATACTAAACCGGGTGTAGGATTATATTCCGGGAAAATACATGATAAAAGTAAACAGCTGTATGAATTATTAACATGCTTATCTCAAAAGGGTTATCAAATTAGATGGCAGTTTGAAACACGATTCTTAAGACCTTTATCATTAGGTACGAGTGCTTACGTACGGCAATTACCGGCGCTTATAAACACGTCTATTAGCCTACATTTCCCCTAAGATTGTATCAAATGTGCGGTGGATTTAAAGCGAAAATGTGTTGTTTTTGTTTGTCATTCCTCTCAAAAATAATTGTGCAAAAAGTCTATTGACTTGAATTGTTTGCCATACAATAGTAAGCGAAGTAAATGTAATTACATTGAATGCCAGTTGAAAAGCTGTCCTAAACATGGCTTTGGAAAATGAAATATAAGTTTTTGAGAGACTTTTATTTTATTAGTAATATATTAACTACAGTATTAGAGATAGAAATTTGTATGTTTGCCATAAAAACAATATAAGGGTTAATGAAAACAATGAGAGAGAGAGAGAGAGAGAGAGAGAGCTATGTTTTAAGCTAAACTTAGGGATTACATGTAATTTAAAGACATTAGACATAATAATAGTATTTTTATATCTTTATATTAAGTAAACCATTAATAATAAATACAAACAAAAATCACCAACATACAGTATATGGCACAATGTATGAATTAGATTAATTTTTATACTCAATCCCTAATCCAGATCGCAATCGGATCGGGATCTCAATCAGTTGGATATACTGCTCAAAGGCTATGATAGACGTGCTCTACCGACAAGTCATTTGGGTAAGTGAGACATACCTGTCCACTGATGTGGCATACGTTTAATATTTTATTTTTATGCCAATATTAAATAACTATTAATGTGTACTAGATGGGTAAGTATCAATTAAATTTGCTTGCTAATGGCAATTCAATTGTCGATCGAGAGAACTTGCTAATTATGTTTGATATAATTATCGGATACAAACATATGTATAGTCAATGTGTTTACCTTAATATAATAGTCACAAAACACACATAAAAACTACTGATATATTATTTACGGCAAACATTTGATGAAATAATGATACCGAAGCGAAATGGAAAGCCTAACCGTGTAATGAAAAACGCATTAATGGTATAAAAGGCACTAAACTTTTGAATGAAAAAAACCAAGTTTATTTTATTTGGCAAACTTTAGTAAAAGTTTATCAAAAAAAACTCGAGAATATTCTTGAGTATAGAATATTTTTTACAGATATATAAATTGCTTACATTTTTTGTATTAATACTAAAGTTTTGACACAAAAATAAGTTTAATTTTTTTGTACCCATAAAGACATCTCAAATATCTCTGACGTTCAATGAAAGTGAAAAAAAATGAAAATATTTTTTACTCCGGATTAATATAAGATATGAAATACATTCAAAACAACTCTATTCAATGGATTTACGGGCAAAACTGATAACTGAATATATATTTCTAACAAATTTTATTTTTCATGTGATATAACTTTACTGTATTCACACCAAACACATACATCTATAAGCTATACTTCAATACAATAGGATATCTTATGTGAGAAAACATTTTTTGCACAAAAAACGTATAAATATCTCTGTTTTTGTTGCGATAAATATTTTTGCTGTCATTTCTGGTACTTATGGTTTTTAGTGTTATTTTTTTGTATACAAAAAATATCATACAGAATACCATACAGAATATGAAATATCCTAGTATGTATATCTTTATTTATGAGCCAGGCATTCAGTATTGAATTTATAGCAAATGTGTGTTTTTGTTTTTATTACCCATACGAATACATGTTATATAAAACAATACATAGTTATAATAAAGTGATACTCAATGTAGAAATCATATGATAAGTGATACGAGAGAAGTCAGACTTAGTTTGAAAAGTTTTGTCTGAAAAGTTGTCTAACTTTTCGTATGACATAAAAACAAACAAAAACCGCGTTATACTCGAAAACATTGCAAATAATATTACGAAAAATGTATAATCCCAAAATGTGTATTTTATTTTTCATTTCGTAAATTATAGAGACATTTATTTTATGTGACATTTTATTTTTGAGGTTTTTGTTTGTTTTTTGTCATTTTTGGCAAAATAGAGATTAATTGCTTATTCTATGAATAATGTGTTTAGATTTGCAATTGTTTTAAAACTATTGGTTTTATTTAATTTGATTTAAGTTATTTCAAGAAATTAATGAAATTATACATTATGGATCCACATTATGTATGATTTTAATTAATTTTGCTTATTAAATATACATGGATTAAGGTATTAGTTAGAAATATAAACCTAGTAATCTAAAAATTATTAATTTTAATGAATTAAGTTTATGATATTTAATTAAAAATTTTGTTTTTTAATAATAGTAAAAATCTATTGTTTTATCAAATATAGTGCTAGTATTAAGGATTAATTAAACATTTACTAAAATAATCCATGTTTAAAGCCTAAAACCTTGAAAATTGTATTATAAAGTGATATAATATATTATAATATTTTTTATTTACAATAAATAAAATTGTTAAACATTTGTTGTGATGAAAATTAATGTCTTTTGAAGTTTATATTGCATTAAACCATTCATTTATAACAATCTTTAAATATATTTGCTTTTTATAAATATATCAAATGCTTTATTCAACTTAGAATTCAATATCTAAAACTAAAATCATTTTGTATTTTTAGTTTTTATATTAAATTCAGTTTTTTGAAAAAGTAGATTAATTTCAACTATAAACTCGTACCGCATTTAAATCAAATATATAGTAATATATTTTTATACAGTATTAAACTGTTTTTACAGTAAATCATTTTCATCTAGCAAAAATAAAACTATTTAAAAAATTTGCATAAGTTTTTAAAAAAGTCCATAACTCTATTTATTATAAATATGAATTTATCAAATATCTTAACTTTAAGTTTATATAAATTTCAATCGATACAAAAAATGCAACAAAAACTTTTAAGTGATAGATCATATTATTGCTATCCTGATATATTAGATGAGACATTCCATGTATGGATAGATAAGCAATGTAATTAATAATCATTAATTATTGTTATTTGTATTGATTATACTACACATGAAGTTAATTAAACTTTGTTTTATCACTGATTGTAGACACGATTCCTATGACTTAATTATGAGACAAAAGTTTAATCATAGAAATCCTTACAAACAAACAAATAGCAAAACTACATAATATTATATAATAACTGCATGTCTGTCCCCCAAAACAGGTGTCCCAACAGTGGTCACGTGCGAAGTGTTCATCCGATCGATCGGCTCCATAAACCCGGAGTCCATGGACTACGAGGTGGACCTATACCTGAGGCAAAGTTGGTTTGACGATCGGCTCAAAACAAACGGCTCCCGAGCGATGGACCTAAACGACCCAAAACTGGTGCAAATGATTTGGAAACCGGAGGTGTTCTTCGCCAACGCCAAGACCGCTGAGTTTCAATACGTAACGGTGCCCAACGTGTTGGTGCGATTGGAAACGGGTGGCAAAATACTCTACATGTTGAGGTATGGTAGCTGGAAATTATGTACTGTATTATAAACTTTGTTTACCATATATGTGTGGTGGAAATTTAATGAATAATAATTATGTTAATAATCTATGTGTCAGACATGGTTGTAGTGTGTACTAGGGGAATTAAAAAGTTGTTTTATTCATTAAAGCTTAATTAAGATTTTTATGATTACATGGTTAGCCGTGTTATTAGTTTTATTTTTTAGTAAAAGCATAATATTTGTTATGAGTTTTATAATTAATTGCGCTGGTATACTTAATAAAAAGTTTGCTAAACATTATGTTCAAGGGATATTAATTTTGTTTTTATTTCAGAAAATATTTTTAATTAACTAGGCCGTATATATGCTTATGTTTTTATCATAATATGATTAATTATTTAAAAAATATTTTAGCTTCCATTAAATTGTTATAATTAATGAATCAGAAATATAATTAGCATATTTTGATTTATCCTAATTATTGGTTACATTTAGCGAATACAAAACATTTTAGTTTTTCATGCATTTAATTGGTATTTATTATCTCAATGTATTTGATTTCCTTAATTCATGGTCTCTATTGGCATTCAAACTATTGTGTTATCCGTTTGCACTCAAATGCACATAAAATATAATTTGTTATATTGGAGAAAGCATTAAAATATTTATATTATAGTGTGAGTTAAGTGACAGGAATTGAAATGAGTTAAACATTTGGGAATTTCTATAATAACATGAAAATCACAGAATATTCTTTAGTATACTATAGGTCTATAGAGTAGATACTCTCAATAGTATTGTTTATTGCATTGCATGTTATGATATATTATATGAGATACTGTACAGTATAGTGGTATATAAAAATCATTGAATTGATAGCTACTGTAATTTAGATTGTTGTTTAACTGCAGTCTAGACTTTATTGTCATTTTATTAACACATACTACACTAAATTGCTATTAAATAAAATTATACATGTCACTTAAACATGATATCAAGCTAATAATCATTATTATAAGCTTATTCTAGTGCAGTATGTGCATTGAATACAAGTTTTAATGAGTGATATATTTAAAATTCAAATCACGATAAGCTATTTTCCTAAAATGTTTCAGTATTTAAATTTTATAAAATAGATTAAGAGCTCAAAACTTTTTAATAAAGTCTGCAATTAATCTCACAGATTTAATGATTATTTCTATTGTGGTTATAATATAATACAGAATATTCTGCAATGTATTAGTAGTTTAGCAAAATGCTCATTTAACATTAATTCACGTAGATTATTTAAAGACTTATTTAAAATGAACAATACGCAACATGTCAAAAACAAATTTTAATTTAAACATTTAAATTGCTTACAAATTATATGAATGCCTAATATTATAAGAATAATATATTTGCTTGTTGACCTAAATTTATATCACATTTTACGCTCAAATAATTATAGCAAATAATTTGAGGTCTAACCTAAACTCACAATTCATTAGCTATAAGGCATTCATACAAATGGCTATCAGCTGTTACTGATGTTTATAAAAATGGTTATCCATTCATAATACTGTCCGAAAATGTATTATTTAACCCATTAGTTGGTCACCAATTCAACACATACCGGTCCCCCTTATTATACACGTTATGGACGGACACATAAAAATAGATACCGTAAGCGCCATAAAAACCATACATTTTGGTGGCGATCGTAATGATGGACTAATGTGTGATAAAAGTTAATGACATTTCATACATACTTACCATTAATGTAAGGCTTATGTCTAACACTTAAGGCCTAAACTATTATACTGTCGTATATATTGCGAGGCCAGGCATCATATTGTATGCAAATCTTTATGCTATTATTTGAATACGTGTGCGATAAGTGTGGCAATGGATTTAGTGTGCTAACATTTAGCTGGCTAAATTACATCACTTTTAGACGCTCTAATTTATTATATATTTAAGTAACATATTTATTTAAACAAGTAATACATAGAATATTCTGTTAAGAAAATTATTACTGTATAAATGGTATATTATTCATTCTGGTATAATACTGTAGTATTAAATATTATTATTTAATCGCATATTAATTTTATACTAATTTTTTAAGATTATTTAATCAACAATTTACTAAACTATTAAATGATTAGTAAACATTTTAATGGCAATTTAAATTTAAATAAATGCATTGTTATTAGCAAATAATTAGCGCTATTACCATAAATCTCTTTATTATACAGGTACAAGTGAACTTAATTTTACTTTAAATAAATAACAATAAAATGTCTCTAATTTGCTATTTGATTAAAGTGCCTATTGATCCGTGTAAATAAGTTGCATTTATTGTCCAAAACCCTTATCGATGTCTATTCAGCCGTATATATAAGTTAGTATATTATTGTAGTCTTTGTTATGTTAAATATTCCTTAGAGAAGACATTATTATAGGATATGTTTTGCAAATTCCAATGATTTGAGACTAAAAGACAATTTTCTGAAGAATAGAGAGAATATTCTTCCCTAAAGAGTATACACGAGAATCGCAGTTTGAGTCTACCAGGGTGCAATTTATATACATTAACTAAAGGTGTTTTAGTAATTTATCAGGTAATCGATTTCGATTATATTTAATACAGTATTGAGTATAGTATTAGTGTAGAGAGAGAGAGAGAGAGAGAGAGAGAGAGAGAGCTGACTGTAAAGTCATTTGTAATTTATTTCTATAACTTTATATACACTATAATAATATTCTGTGAGAAAATAATGCCTTTTCTCCCTTTATTCGCAACAAAATAAGTGAAAATGAATTTTATTTTTCATTTATTTAGATTTTTATTATTTTCTATACATTATATTACTATAAAAATATTTTTTTACTACATTTGCATTCACTTTTCAAAAACTTAATAATCATTTACATCTCATTTAGCGTTTAGAATATACTGCAGACTATAATACAGAATATTCTGCATTAATATTCGCTTAATATATAGATTTAAATGATATTCACATTCGTTTGCAGTTTTGCTCAAAACATAAGCATTTATTGCTTAATAGAGACAAAGTTTTAACATTAAAGCAAAATAATGGACTTTATTTGGGAGCCTAAATGTGTTGAGACACTCGTATATTTAATACTAAGGAATTTGTAACTGAAACTGATTTATGGTTTGCTCAAAATTTAGACAACAAATAACACATTAACGTTGAATGAGTTGATCTCATGATTGCATTTCCATTAGTGTATAAATTGTTTAAAATGAATGTTGAATAAAAAAATAATTAATGACCTTACAATTCACAAGTTATATAATTTTCTATAATTCTGTAAATTTTAAATATTAATATTATTATTAATAATCAATATTAATATAATAGTAGATTATACAGCAAATAATTTATATAAAAATTCTTAAATACGTTAAAAGGTATAAATTAACATGATTATTTCACTACTTATTATTTCATTATGAAATAAACTTAAACGCAATACCTAAAGTAGTTTTAATTATATGCATGTATCATATATATAAATTATTGAAATTTATTTTCTATATGGATGAATAATATGAGGCAGCAAAATAGAAAATAAAAAGTTTTATTTTACCAAAATTGAAAATAAAACATTGAGTACTCTGATCACATTTCGTGAACACAATCTATTATTAATAGCCAGCAACAAAAAATAAAATAAGATAATATTGGAAAACAATAAACTAATGCAGAAATAAACAAAACAAAAATCTAATATCACATACCAGGGCAATATACGAGATTAAAAAATATATATTTATCAAGACTTATGCACACAGTTTGCATTATAGAGACATAAATTATATGAAATTCTTGAATAAAACATTTAATATATTTATATATTATATTAAATATCAATACAATAGACATTCTCTTATAAATAATAGTAAAATATTTCACAACACTTAAACGTTTTATTAAGGATTTACTTAATCTCAAATCCAATTCAATATAATGAATGCTAACTGACAGCTTCATTACTCGCAAATAATGATTATAACCACTAATACTATACTCAATACTGTATTAAATATAATCGAAATCGATTACCTGATAAATTACTTAAACACCTTTAGTTAATGTATATAAATTGAACCCTGGTAGACTCAAACTGCGATTCTCGTGTAT